ATCTTTGCTGAGAAAAAATTTTTTTTTAAAAAATAACATTTTTATGTTGTGTAAGAGCGAACTCAATACACGTCTATTTGCTTTGGTGACTTGTTAAAAAGTGAGTTTCTTTTTCGGTTAGCTACGTATATGTTGAGGGAGATAGAAAAGCGATAGAGGGAAACAGATGGAACAAATGCATAGTGTCGGCTAGTCAGGTGTGATCCTGTTTTGCACGTTTACGTGGGTAATGTCACGTAGACCATGCAAGCAGGTGTTTACAACGATTTTTTATATATATTCAGCAGACCACCCAAAGTGTGGCGCGCAGGACCGGCTTCAAATGTTTTGATATGTTTTGATTTCGAAACACCAATGGTTAAACTAAGTTTACATCATTCTTTGTACAACCTGTCCTAGGTGATTTTATGGTGGTGAAATTAACTGTCGAATTAATTCCAAACGTAACTTTGCTCACAGCTTCATCCCAACGAGATTCGTCTTCTACTTGACCGTTAGCCCCATGGGTCAAAGTAGTACATTCTACATGTTTAATACCTAAAGTTAAATATACTTGTTTAACACCTACAGTTAAACAGTATTCCTTAAAATTATTTTTCATAAAATCTGTGTCACTGTCGCAAATAAAACAGCGAAGAACCCCGAATATTTCTATTACCTCATCTAGAAATTGCAGTACAGGCACCGGCTCAGTTGTTGTATTTTTGTACCGCTTTTTTTTTCAAATTTCGTAAATTAAAGCCGTCAACTGCTAAATGACCTATCATGAGGATGCTGCAATGTACTAATATTAGAATTATTCGTCGTGGTGTTTTCGGAATAAATCATTTCTTTCTTTTTGCTGTTTTTCGAAAGTCGTTTATCCCTTAAATAAACAATACCTTTTATGAATTTGTCGTTCGCCGTTTGTCAATATCTCGTGACAAAACATTAATAATATTGTTACAAGTGTTGTCTTGTAGTTGTGCTGAAAGTATTTTTCCTCAATATTTACTATCATTACGTTAAATGATTCGGCTAACACCGGCCGATATAAGAGAAGCACCTCTTGGCGACGTCAACTACATTAAATCTGTAGGCTGGCTCACCAGCTAGGAGATGCCTATCATCTAAGGAGGATGTACAATGGACCCTCCACGCGTTACAGATACGTTACAGATACGTTACAGATACGTTACAGATACGTTACAGATACGTTACAGATACGTTACAGATACGTTACAGATACGTTACAGATACGTTACAGATACGTTACAGATACGTTACAGATACGTTACAGATACGTTACAGATACGTTACAGATACGTTACAGATACGTTACAGATACGTTACAGATACAGATACGTTACAGATACAGATACGTTACAGATACAGATACGTTACAGATACGTTACAGATACAGATACGTTACAGATACAGATACGTTACAGATACAGATACGTTACAGATACAGATACGTTACAGATACAGATACGTTACAGATACAGATACGTTACAGATACAGATACGTTACAGATACAGATACGTTACAGATACAGATACGTTACAGATACGTTACAGATACGTTACAGATACAGATACGTTACAGATACAGATACGTTACAGATAAAGATACATTACAGATACAGATACATTACAGATACAGATACGTTACAGATACAGATATGTTACAGATACGTTACAGATACAGATACGTTAAGTGATTGATACATGGGTATAGTGATACTTCGGCTCAGAGTGCCTACGTGGTTGATCTTAGTGCCACCACGATATTTAATGTCAAAATCGAATTCTTGAATTAATAACCACTATCTTGCGATGCAAAGAATTAAGTCTCGTTTCACATGAGTGGCACAAAGTAAGTTACAATCGGTAACGACTTTAACTTTATGCCACTTAAAACTGAACTTTTTAAATGCGCGTACAGCCGCCAAAGTTTCAAGCTCATGAATATTTTTACTCTCCTTTGCGCGTGGCTCTACTAAATATTATACTAGCCTAAATTGCTGCCATTTTGATGTTCTAGAAGTATTCCTACTGGTCCGACTTTACTGGTGTCACAATGTTCTTCAGTTTTCACTTATCTGTTATAAATAGCATATATGGATCGTTCTACTAGCTTCTTTATTTTTAAAATCGCCGAATTTCGTTGATATCCTTAGGTGCTGCAAAGTCTGCTACAGTGTCCTTGGTGTGTCGACCTCCATTCCGATTTGGGCGTCCTTTGCGGGTGTTTCCTCATCCTGCCTCTTTCTAGGGGTCTTTTATCCTCATCTCCGTCATGGGTCTTCATCCTCCATCCACCGTTCTTCATTATTCATTCTCCGTTGTGGGTCTAAATATTTTGTTCATAATCCTTTATATAACAGCAGAATCATTTACCAAAATAAAAGTCATACAGTATGAACCGTACATTATAGGTTCGCTATCGGTTAGTGTGATCAACATTTTCGTAAGAGTCGTTTTAGCAACCTGTCCTAAATTAGTAGCGAAACAATACATAATATACTCGTTAAATAATTTAAGTAATTTAGAACGTTCAATGCTATTTAATTCAGAATTAGTTTGATTTTCAAGTTCTAATAATGTAAAATTTAGTAAATCAGCAATTTTTGTTGCTAAGCAAGTTTTATCTCCGGTACATGAAAAACATCTAGTAAGTATTGTCTTTTTCGTAACAAACAGACAGGAATACAGCAACAATTGTTCATATTAATAACACACGGTACAATAATGTGAAAATGATTATCTCAATTTCCATATTATATATCAACAAAAACATCTTAGATCTACAAAAATATCTTCAAAATCAACAAAAAACACCCCTAAGGTTTTCATTTTTAATTAGAGGAATGTCACCTACAAAATTCTGCGGAATAATAGTAGTTTGTTCTACACATAAATTAATTTTCTTAGACAAAGACTCGTTAATATGTGTAACGTTGACGTTATTTTAATTAAAATATGTCACACTTGGTTACATTTAACGAAAACTGTAACCATATCATTATTTAAAGATGGCTAACCTACAATAACAGGGAGCCGGTACGTCAACAGTAGAAGTAGCTAAATCAACATTCAAAGTTGTCGTAACCTTTAAAGGTACTATAATAAAATCTTCCGCATAACCACACAAACGTACTGATGTGGGTAACCCTGTAGATGCAACTTATGACTGCATCACGAATTCACGAATTGTAACTGCAGCACAACCCGAGTCTACAAAGCTTTGTATAGGTTCATCATATTAACATAACACAATCAATGAAATAGCAAGTACTAGACGCCTGATTATTAGATAAAATTAAAATTGGTTTTGACTCACCCTTATTTTGTCGTTCAGCTGGTCTTTTACCTGCGTTTACATCTCTGCCTGTGTCCTAACAGATGGCTTTTTGTGCAATTAAAACGTGGTTGATACTTTCCTCACGTATCATTGACAGATATTCTTCAAAAATGCATCTGGTTTTTCGTAACGTCTGCGCGAATAGCATTTTAGATGGTGACTTGGGATTTCGTCTTAACAATCTCTCTTCCACTGTTTAATTCTAGCTTCGTATATAACTTTGTTGACTGAAACACGTATCTAAACCGCGAGATGTGCTTGGTATTATATTTTCTCGCGACATACATAACTATCGCTTTTTTATACGGTCCTTTTGCTAAAAGGTGACCTATTATCACTAATGTCTCGTCCTGTCGGAGTCTAATTACATTGAGATCGAGTTCGCCTAAGATCGGTTTATAAATATGGGCCTAAGAGCTTTCTTTGTTTATCGTTCTTAACACGATCATACCACGAAGATCTTACTAACTTAACACGAATCACTAAATTACTTATCTAATGATTAAATTCTTTTTAGTCACGTAACAACTCAAGTTATTGCACGCCCTGTATATAACGCCACTCATTCACGTCGCGTACGTTTTTCTGGTAAGCCGTAAGTTCACCTCACACCTGAACTGTAAACTACACAAATAATTAAATGTTTATTTTACGTATGAAGTTTATTAATATTAAAATAACGTTACAAAAATAATAATTATTAAAACAAATAGAATAACACAGTCTTAACAAAGAAACCGACTGCATTCCTCAACGGTGTTCGATAATCTGCCCATCCAAATAGTTGACCCACTGATTGAACCTTTGAATATGATTGAACGACCCTTTTCTGTCGGCCGCCCGGTTTACGATGTTTTTGTTTCCCAGAAATCGTCTCGGGTTAAGGGACCATCCAAAAATAGATTACAATAGCACTATCAATAGTATTTGGCACTATCGCAGGTAAAGCTTCAAGCTTTTCGCACAAAAATCGAAATTTAAATCTTACACACAAATTAAACTAAATTATAGACTAGAGGTGGGACACAATTTTTGGACCGTTACAAAATATCTGTAAGTGTGGATAACGCTCAAAAGAGGGGCGAACTGAGGGTCTGTGTCCACACTCGCAGCCTCACAAATACCTAGCTCCAAGGGGGCTATCCCTAAAACAAGGATCAACAGTGACCCACGCATAAGAATAAAGGTAAACAAAAATGACATCTCTACTAGTATTACGGATAATATTCTAAACTACGATCCGAATAGCCATACCTCTGAAGAGGAGGACAAAACTAGGAAAGAGAGGAACGACAGGTACAGCAACCTGCCTCATTCACCTAATAGCCTGTTTGAAAAAGGGCGAGGACCACACCAAAAAAGTTCTCCAGTAACTTCCAAAATCTCATAAGAGAGAAGTCCAAAAAGACCCTCACCCCCACGCAAAATAAATTCCAACCTCTCACCGATGAATCTGATTCGGACGCAGATGAAATTGATAGGATTGTGAAAAGGCGCAAAAAAGGGACAAAATTTGTACCCCTTGATATGTCTGAAAATCAAGCGACCCGCAATATCAATAACACTCATGTGAACGCAACAAAAACTGATAATGCACATAAAACCCAACATAGACCGAGCACGAACAGAAATACAATGCCCCCAATTGTAATAGATGGCAGGACCGGCCAATCAAGCAAATCTAGTTAACGATCTCAAAGGCATAGTCAAAGGTGAATTTTCCATAAAACACACTAACTACACTACCATCATCTTTGTAAAGAATAAAGAAGACCATCAACGAGTGCTAGAAAATATCAAGTCGGAAAATATGCCATATCATACATATACCTCAAGGGATGACAAATCACATGCCTTCGTCCTTAGAGGTCTTGCGGAAGGCACCAAAATTGCACATATAGAGGAGAACCTAGAAGAAGAGCATGAGATAAAACCACTTGCGGTGTATCAAATGCGCACCAAAGAGAGACCATTATTTCTAGTGGTTACAGACCCCGTAATTACGCTAGAATATCTGAACAAAAACACTCGAAGGGTCCTCTATACCAGAGTGACATGGGAGTTATGGAAATCCATGAAACTTATCATACAGTGCCACAACTGTCAACAGTGGGGGCATGCAACCTCCAATTGTGGCCGTAATGCTCGTTGCTTGAAGTGTGCGGGTGATCACCACACGAGAACTTGCTTAAAAACTCCAGATACACCGGCAACGTGGGCAAACTGTGGGGGTGATCACCCCGCCAACTATTCGAAATGCCCCAATTACGTCGAAAAATTAGAGAGAATGCTTGAAAGAAGACCGAAACAGCAGCAGAAATATGTTCCCGCCTCTCAGCCGATCCTGAACCAATGGGAGGCCAGAAACAAGAACCGAAACCCAAATACCGAATTTCCAGCATTACCCACGAAATATGCAAGAGAAACTGCAGAAAACGTGAGAATTCCAGCCAGAAGACCCGATATGCAAAGACAATCAACCCCAGGCGTGGCCGTGGACGATTTCACGGCCCTAAATAACGAATTTGAGACCCTCAATAGACTCATCAATATAGGTGAATTAACCAGAGCAGTCAGAGAACTGAACGCCAGACTAATAAAGTGTAAAACGGGAAAAGACGTCATAGAGACATACAACGCGTTCATGACGGACGTTGACATCAATTTCAATCTTTTAAATTAACTCTTTTAAATTAACTCTTTTAAATTAACTCTTTTAAATTAACTCTAACATTCAATTTTAAAATACTGTAACATTCGTTTAATTACATGGTAAAATGCTTTTGTGGATGTTTATGCGACTACGGAAGCACTTTTTCTCAGAATTTCTGTGATTTTCTGGGAAATTGGTGTGAGTAGGGGCATGAATATCCCCAAAATACACTCACTAACATACATACGAGACAGGATACATGAGAAAATCGACATACATCCTCCTTAACAGCGAAGACCCCACTGAATAGTAAAATCATTTCGACGATTAGTTACAAACTTTCGTCGGACGGAAGACTGCACGGTGACGTCATCACACAATGCGAAAATTAATGTACGCTTTGGACTTTGCCAAAGTACAGTTGTCCTCAATAACCACGCCGGTTTTTGATAATTTTGTTTTGAGTCTACTAAATAAACATATTTCTCCACATTTTCCTTTCAAAATCGCCAGTGTAAGTACATCGTAGCATCGGTAGAGGTGCTATAGATGCACAAGCCCGAAAGGGCAACCACAACAACACCAAAAGCCTTCCAGACCGTTTATTCTAAAAGATTGAAGAACCGATGTCGTCCTGACCTGCCAGAAATGATCAAAATATCAAATCTAAACTCCCCACAAAGATTTAAGGCCATACTGAAAATTAAGACACCAAAAACTGTGAGTACAGACAACCTACCATTAATAATAACTAACCCGGGGGAAATCTGCCCAAATACAGCGGACCCCCTGGTCGAATTTTCTGTGGAACGACCTCTAAATGACCTCAAAAGTGTTGAAAAGAATACAATCAACATTCTACACAATCAGACAGTTGTAAAGGGCACAGGGGAACGAACGTAAAAGGAAAAAATCACAAATAGAAAGTCCTGAAAATCTCGTCATAAACACTGACTGCGAATCGGAAATGGAAGAATTCCACGATTCTCAGGACAGTCAGGAGAATCTCTCGAATCAAACTATAAAGAGCAAAAATGACGATGACATTGAGATGGACACGAACGATCCCATAGATACGCAAAACAAAGATGAGATGGATAGCAATATCAAAGACCTATACTCGGACTTAGAACTTCCTCCAATGGATGAAAAGAAGGCTAAACATACTAAAAGCATGGAAAATCTGTATAAAACCAACACAGAAGACAATTTTGGATCATATAGATCAGAATATGCAACGGATGTCTCGGAAAATGCTACTGATGGCAGCAAGCCACTAAAACTCAAAATCAAAAGATTAGAAATGCCCGCAAACATTGTCAAAAGGGCTCTGGATTTTCATACCTCGGAAAACACCTCAGAAGAGGAAAGAGGAGCACAATCACTGCTCTTACAACAATCACTAAAAGCATCAGAAGAAGCGAAAAAATATCTACCACCTCCACCTGCACCCCCAACACCATCACAATCTAATAACACCACGTTATCCCAGACTTTCTTCTTCCTCCCTCCCCCAATCAAAGCCAAAGAATACCCTCAAAATAATTTCCCTCCTACCTCACAAGATATCAGTTCACCCCCCTCTACTTCTCAAACTTCCCGCTCACTGTTACCTCCATCCAACCAACTTACCCCAAATAGTAGAGGCCTACCTAGATGGTCTAGTCAAAAAGATAGTGCCATCAGACAGGAAATACTTAACATAGTTGCAAAAGATAACAACCCAAGCGAAAATTTCGAAGTCCCGAAAAGAACTATGAAGCTGAAACACTTAATTACTCAAAAGACAAAAGCCACACTATCAACCAACAACAAATATCATCCACTAACTGATGAATCAGACAGAGATGATGAAAGCGACGAGGAGGAAAGTCAGAGACCCAGAACCAAAAGAATTAAGCCGAACACTCCTAAAACGGACCTTAATAAAATCCAACCAAGCACAAAGACAAAAAAGACCCAAATGCCCCCAATTGTCATTGACGGAGTCACCCGAAATCACAAACAAATGGTGACTAACATTAAAGAATCGATCAAAGGCCAATTCACAGTAAAACATACTAACCAATCTACCATCTTATTTGTGGAAGAAGAACCCGATTATAATAGAGTACTTACAAACATTCGAACAGAAAAAATTCCATTTCATACATACACGCAGAAACAGGACAAATCCCATGCCTTCGTCCTAAGGGGTATGACGACAGGAACTGAAATTGATGACATTAAGGAAGATCTCCAAGAGAGCTATGATATTAAAGCCAGAGAGATCTTCTTAATGACAACGAAAAATAGACCCCTATATCTAGTGATAACGGATCCAGCCATAACCTTAGAATACCTTAATAAGAATGTGAGAATTATAGAAAACACACGTATTGTCTGGGAATTAAGAAGATCCGTAAAACTATTAATCCAATGCCATAATTGTCAGTTGTGGGGACACGCAACTGCCAATTGTGGCAGACCTCCCAAATGTCTAAAATGCGCGGGTGATCATCACACCCGAACATGTCTGAAGAGCAGAGACACTCCTGCGAAATGTGCAAACTACGGTGGTGATCACCCCGCTAACTATACAAAGTGTGACCACTATGTTGAAAGAGTGGAAAGATTGGAAGATAGAAAAACCAAAAATCAACCAAAAAAGTATGTTCAGGCACCCCTGCCCAGAACAAATGCATGGGATAAGAAAAACTTAAATAAAGAAGAATTTCCGGAGCTGCCAAGCAGAGGCCAGAACAACACAAGCAACCAAAATAGAAATTCCAACCCTCCCACTCAACAATCAGCACCTAGGACTCAGGCCCCTAGGTCCGCTGCTATGAGACCACCTGGAAGAATGGATGATTTCCAAGCACTGAACACAGAGTTAGATGACTTAAACAGGTTGGTAAATCTATCAGAACTAGCTAGAGCGGTTAGAGAACTTAATAATGAACTACGTACATGCCTCACTAACTTAGATATATTTAACACCTATCAAGCTTTTCACGAAAACATAAACTCCTACAAATTCAGAAACTGAACTTGGTGAGGCATGTAAAGACAAATTCAAAATATGTTTTTATAATGCGAATGGGCTGCACAACAAGATTCATCTTGTACGCAATTTCATACACAATCATAATTTTGACATAATCTTTATATCAGAAACAAGATTTAGGGAAAACGAAACAATTAAAATACGAGACTATACAGTAATACAACAACATAGACAAGATGACGGTGGCCACGGGGGGGTAGCTTTATGCATCAGAAGGAACATTAAATTTCAAAGGTTAAATAACGTAAATGCGAGCTTAGAAAATATAGCAATTAAAGTAGGTAATTTCACTTTGGTAGGAGCGTACAATAGTCCGCAAAATAAAATTACTAACGCGGATTTATTTAGGTTGACGTCAATAGGTCAGAGGGTCGTCTTGTTTGGCGATCTAAATTGCAAACACCCAGAATGGGATTCGAATTGTCTTAGGCACAATAAAAATGGTAAAACCCTGAGAGACTACGCCGAACTAAACGATCTGAACATCCACTACACAGAAACCCCTACCTTTTTCCCATTCAACAACCTATCCTCTCCTAGTACCTTGGACATAGCCGTGACAAAAAACATCAACGAAATCAGACACATCAGAACCATCCCTTCCATGAACTCAGACCACGATCCAGTTGTCTTGGAAATACCTACTAACTACAAACCTCTAAACAATCCAAGTAAATATTATGATTACTCCAAGACAAACTGGAGAGTGTACAGACAAATACTCGACTCAAATATACAAATCCGAGCCATAAGTACTACTCAAGAAATAGATACGGAATTAAACAAATTAATAGAGATTATAAAAACTGCTAGAAACGGATCCACAGCACTTATGACTCGGAAACAACACAAAGACATCATAACTGACGAAATACAAGACCTAATTCATACGAAAAACAGACTCAGGAAGAGATGGCAAAATCACCGACAAGCCGATGACAGGGATAGGCTAAATGATATATCTCGCCACATAAATTCGCTTATGCAAGAAATTCGCAACAAAAAATGGCTAAAAACTCTGGAATCGGTCAACCCCAAAGACAACTCAGTGTGGAGAATTGCCAAACACCTTTCAAAACCGCGAACGCAAATCCCCACACTGATTAACGGACAAACCCCCCACTTCACTAACGAACAAAAAGGACGTTTATTCGGTGTATTCTTTCAGGATATATTTACAAACAATATACCAAACAACGCCCAACAGCAAGAAATTCAAAATTCAGTTAACAACTTTATAGCAAACCCACCTACCCCAGTCAATCAGGGGGACCTAACCACCCCCAAAGAAATTCTATGTGGATTGTTGAACAAGAAGGCCCCTGGACCTGATGAAATTCCGAATATACTACTCAGAAATTTTACTAGGAAAGCTATTGTACAACTACATTATATAATAAATGCCATATTAAAGACTCAGTACTACCCAACGTCACTCAAAATTGCAAATGTCATTCCTATTAGGAAAAATAATAAGAATCCTAAATATGTAGAAAGTTACCGCCCAATTTCTTTACTATCAGGCCTTTCAAAGATAGTGGACAAAGTCATACTTACGAGACTACGTAACTTTGACAATGACAACCACATTATCCCTCCGGAACAGTTTGGATTCAGAGAGGGTCACGGCACTATTGGACAAATTATCAATACAACGCATCAGGCGAAAAAGGCCTATAATGTCAAAAATCAAACAGTGCTAGTGGCCCTCGACACGGAAAAGGCGTTCGATTCAGTCTGGACCGAAGGGTTAATACACAAAATGATTGTGAATGACTATCCTGGTCACATTATAAAAACAATTCATTCTTATCTTAAAGACAGAAAATTCAATATAAAAATACAAAAAACAATAACAGGACTTTTCAATGCTGTTGCTGGAGTACCCCAGGGATCGGTACTGTCGCCGCATTTGTACACCATTATGACACATGACATGCCCATGGGTCATAATGGGGTGCAGACGGCGTTGTACGCCGACGAT